AATTTCATATCTGCGTTCTATAAACTGGAGTGCCTTCAGCATTGTAAATAATAAAAATTGCCCTCTATTAGCATGTTTGTGGGCAGATTAAAAACAGTCTTCATTAGCATAAGTAACACTTACAGATTCTTTTAAAAGTAGAAAATTATTTGTTGAATGATAAATTGCTAGCTTTCTAGTTAGTTGCTGAAAATGTGCTCATTCAAAATGCCTACTTTAGTTTAGTCTACAATACTCAATTTTTTTTTAGTTAGAAGTACTGTTAAATGGATTATGTACTTACTCTTTGTTCATGGTAGATGCTGAAATGCAATTCACACTTTCTGCTAAAATGTTGGTATCAAATACCTCCCTATTTAGATTGATTTCTTTTAGCACCATATATTTTTATTATACTATACGCCCCAGAGAATGATACAAAATAATCTTAAATATACTATAACCAAAAAAACCTGAGCATGTCTTAGCATTGATCCTCTAAAATGTTTTCCCTTTCTAGATTTAAGCTAAACCCTTTCTAAGAAATGCTGAAGTCATTGTTATTCTGTAAGAAATATTCATCATTTGGCAAATTATTATCAATGTAACAAATTACCCAAACAAGTTCAATTACTTCACTTTGTAGTCTTCCCTTTTCAGACTAGGTGTGTTTGTTGCTGATCTGGAAAGCTTTGGCCAGAGAACATTTTTCATGATCGTAATGCTATCCCTATTTGATGTAATTAGGCTAGATATTTATACTTTAGGTATAGATTTCTTTTTCCTTTCAATAATAAAGAATGGAAGAATATTTTGTTAGAAACTCTGTGTGAAAATATTCAAATAACAGAGTTATTTGAATAACAAAATATTCAAAATACAGTTTCTTTTATTTAAGCATAGCAGAGGTCTAACTGAAAAGAATAGAATTTGGATAATATGGATAAAATGCATTGATGCTTTCTTTAAAATAAGCATGCTCATGGGTATTACAGAGCCTAAGTTTTGGCAGTTATCCTCTTTGCGCTTTTCCTGCAATAGTTTGGCAGTTCGGCTTTCACAGGTTTTTTTTCCTCTAATGTCTTGTGTTTCTTTACTAAATCCCTATCAGAAAACCAGACAGAAGACTCTTATTTATTTTAAATATCTTAGGTTTAGCATCTTTTTTTTTTCACCATTTTCTTGCTTACTGTAGCAAGACCTTTGCAGATGGTACTTGGTTACTTGAAAGTGCATAACAGTATTTTCTTTGTAGCAGATGGATTTAAGACTTTTAGTTCCCAATAAATGTAGGTTTACAATACATAACTTTACAGGATTTGTGTTGTATATAACAGGTTTGAACATATTATCTCAGAATTCATCTGCATGGCATTTTCAGCTTATCCAGGGCCCATGCCAGTATTTTAAGTAATAGGGAGAGCATAGTGATTGATAGCAGCTAAAGGCGTGATTTTGAATAGAAACAAAGGTTTTAGAACAGAAGGTGTCAAATTAAACTTTGTCAGTTTGAAAAGTAGTAACATCCTGAAAGTTCTCCAAACATATTTACATGTGGCTAATGTTTATATTTTGCTTTGTACTCTCTTTATATTCAGTGTAATGTTGCCTGGCAAATTTACTCTGTTTTAAAATTAAGGTTGTTCCCAATGTCATTGCAGAGTTTTTGGGGGGTTTGCCTTTCTGCATAAATGCATCAACTTCATTATTTTAATGCTGTTTTCTTAACAATGTACTCTATATGCTGTATAAACCGGTTGTGATCTAATCTGATTTATAAATATTTCCTTATTATTTTGTGGTCATTTCCACTTCCTGTAAAACTATAAAGACAAAAAAAAAGGAAACTAGGCAGAAATTGCTCCAGACTTAAAAAAGTATGAAAGGAGAAAAACCAGCCCTGTTACATTCACTTGTAAATTCAGCTGCATTATCTGCAGCACTTCATACCTTTTTTAGATCAAATGGAAACAGAACTTATAAATTTTACAGAACTTAAATTAACCATTAGAAAAGTCTGGATTATTTTTTTTCCAAAATTTTGGAAAAATTTTGGAAAAAAATTTCATACTTTCTCATGTTGGTGACTTTTATGAATGAGCTTTATTTCATGTACAGAATTCTGAAGCAGAAACTAAATTAAATATTTCTATTTTTAATTGTTTGTCTTGAACCAAAAGGAAGCATATTGGGATAAAGTTCATACTCTCTTAACACTCAGCCCCTATAGCCTCTCTTGCTGTCCATCCACTATCTTATCTGAGAACATTGGTGGGATCAGCTTTCATAAATATGTACAGAAATAAACTATGAAGACTAAAAATTTTTTTCTATCCTTGTAATTGTAAAAGAATTCAGTTGTTTGTTTCCATGTTTTCCATTAAATGTTTCATTAGAATGTGTCTACTTCTTTAAAAATGTGCCAAGTGGAATAGAGACATTTTGGTAGAACAGTATTCTTTTCTGTGTACCCTGTCAGAAGTATCTGTCTTCATTATCTCAAAATCCCTGAAAGGCTAGGAGAGACATGTTTCAGGTTACAATTCATCAAATAATTTTAGATAAGGCATTAGAAGTATTATTTCAGTGCAAAAATTGAGAGAAAACCGTTGGAAATACAATGTTAGCTATCAGTAGTTAATAAAAATAAGGTCTGACCTAGTAAATACAGAAACAGAAAAGACAGTAAGGACAGAAGGTTTTTATTAGTTATCAAAAACTGTTGTGAAATATGTTTCATCAACAGAAAATGTTATTGCCTAGGAATTATTTTTTCTACTGGATTTTTTTAATTATAAAGGGTTTCTACTGCAATTTTAAGAAAAAACAAACCCTGTGATTCCCGTGGTCAGCAGACAAAACATTTGCAGCTTCTAAATGCATGGTGCACTTCTTTTCCAGCCTGTGTGTATGCCTTGGAGGGGCGGCATGGGTGGACATGGGTTGTCTTGTCTTTTTTTTTTTTTTTTACTTCCACCAAACTGTCGTGATAGACAGCTCTGCTCTTTGTTTCACCACTTTAGAAAGAAAGCCAACAGTTTCAGTGTAAAGCAGTGCAGATTCCAGACAACCAAGGGACAATGTTTACTCTTTGGCATGGGATGGTTTGTGGCTTTGGGGTTCTTTAATTTAGAAGTTTGTAACTGTTAAAAGATCTTCAGTTAAAAGATCAAGATTGGTTTATCTTCATCATCATCTCTCCTCCGTCCCCAAGAAGCTGCCTCTGCTTTCTGAGTGCACCACTTTTAACTTACTGCAATAAAGGAATACTGCTGCTGAGCATAATCCAGCACTCAGTATCCCCGTGGATGCAAGGTGAGCAGAGAGCCACGAGCAACATGCTGTTTTTGTTAGGGGCTGGGAGAGCTTGCCCTGCTAATACATTCCAGTGAGATTCCAGAGACCCTTGCTACTGTTTTGAAAACATGCCATACAATTCCAGCCAGGACAGGCTGAGTGTCTGTGCTCTGTGTGAAGCATTTGGCCACATTTCCAAGTCGTCTTGCTAAACCCTGGGGCAATACCCAGCATCCCCACTTAGTCAAGGAATGGGGTGTGCTCCATCCCTAGGGTGTGGGGGAGCCCTTTGCTGCCCCTGCTCTCCCCTGTCTCTGCTCCCTCCCTCGCACACCTCATGAGCACCTGGCAGATTTTGGCCCCATTTAAATTTTTGCTTTTTCAGCTCTGCTACCACCATCTCTATAACATTTGTCATTTTGATGGTTTCTTGGGGGCATTTTCATCTGTGTCATTTGTTCAGTTTTTCACTTATATCCAAGCAAATATACTTCCAATTTTTATACACACCTCACTAAATATTTTCATATACAATATGAATGCATTAACATTATTTGTTTACTTTGAGTCTTCCTGTTGTGGGAATATTTTTACACTGCATTTATTAACTATTAGCTAAAGATATGAGTATCTTCAAGAAAATACATATCTATATCATATCTATGAGTCTATTGTATGTGTTAGTAAACCATTCTGGATAAACCATTAATCCACTACTGGTACATATAAAAAGGACCTAAAAGCTTCTGTACGTTTATATTATTTGTTGATTCAATAAAATGTCACATTATCTTTCCTACAGCATTAAGAAATAAAACTGCATGGACCTATTTTTGAAAACAGACCCTTGAAGCTAAAATAAAGGAAATATGCATGTTTTATACATGTAATATTTTGTTCCTAAATTTTAATATACTAGAAAATTTCTCTTGATGTACACTGTCCTAGCTAGAGGGTTTGCATTCCTCTTTTAGAACTACCAGTGCACAATTGAGAAAAAAATCCTCAATTAAATTTTAAGATGTAAAGAAACATTAAATTTTCATGATAAACTCCTATGTCTCTTTCAGAAGAAAACTAGCAACTCCTTCAGTTCTTGCAGGGGATTCTGTAGCTGACTTCATATTATGTACCCCAAAGACTCATAGGCACCTTTCTGTCCTTGATGTGGAAATGTATAAAGGGTGTATCAGAAGCTAGAGCACATCTTCCTTCCCCCCAACCCCTAATAATCCTGTACGTAAAACTGAGAGACTGATTTTTTTCTGGGTCTATGAGGACAATCTGGAAACATATCTGTATCACTTGAAATAAGTTCACCTGCAGAGAAACCTCTTCTTGTAGCAAAAATTAAGAAGTTATCGCTTGACTGCATCTAGTCATAGGATTCCTGTCTTTTGAAGAGATGATAGGGAGTTCGTCTACTGCTGTGGTTTACGTTAGGCAGCCCTACAGTCAAGCAAACAAATAGCGGCACTGTGGTGTGAGACCAAGGGGAAGATGCTTTCCAAAATGCCTATGGTTGGCAAAGGTCTGTGAAATGGCTGGGCAGCCTCTCAGTGCATTGGTGTTTGCTTTAAGCCCAGCCTGTGCAGTGAAAGCCCTTTTGATCAGGTGAGAGGATGAGAGAATGCAGCACCTCTAAAGTACACGTTTCACCCTCATTTTGCCCCTTGCAGTGTGATGAAAAAAATACCTAATGTTTTGCTGGTTTTGTCTTCAAGGGGTGGCTCTGTGAGCTGTTACGTTGGAAAGAAGATCCATCACCAGAAAACAGGACCCTCTGGGAGAATCTCTCCATGATCCGAAGGTTCCTCAGTCTTCCTCAGCCTGAACGCGATGCCATTTATGAACAAGAAAGCAATGCAGTTCATCACCATGGTGACAGGCCTTCCCACATTATCCATGTGCCAGCAGAACAGATTCAGGTTAGTTTACCTTGGCCAATCCCGCAGAGCACTAAGTAAATAAAGCTTTAAACGGAGCAAAGGAAATTCGTGTTTCTTCCCTCCTGGTCAGGCTGAACGCAGGTCTCCCGGTGTAAGATAAGAGCGCGCTGCCATCCACCACCGCAGTTCAAAGGAGACCGTGCGACCACCCACAGTTCTTGTTCCGGTTCACTGGCGTTTGCTAACGTGTGTGGTGGTAGTGCAGAGGCAGCTGTGTGCGGGCAGGGCGAGCTCAGCCCCGTGCTGGCTGTGCCTGCCTGGACAGGCACCAGGGCCGAAAGGCAGGGGTGTGCGGCACTGGTCAAGGCTCTTCCTTCCCGGCAGACCAGGAGGACCTTGTTGTGCCGCTGTTCGAAAACCAAGCAAGAACCCTCAGCAGTGGCAGCTCATCCTGGGTAGGAGTGAAGGGGATTTCTCATCCCACTTTAATCCCAGTTGAGACTGGGGTGAGTCAATATTTGTTTGTTTTTCCTTCAGAGCCCCTCTCCCACCACCCTTGGGAAAGGAGAGCATAGAGGCGCTTTCCTACCAGGCCTGCTGACCGCTGGACCTTGGCTGGGTGCTGCTCCGCAGGTGAGCTGGCACAAGGGCACCGTGTCAGGGAGAGAGAGGAGGGGATGCAAGACCCGCACCATGAGGCTTGGAAGAGCTGCCCTCTGCTTCAGGGCAGCCCCAGTGGGCCTCCTGCCGGAGCTGCACACACCCTTTTTTGCTGGCACAGGTGCTGCCAGCCGGGAGCGGAGCTGGCTGTTGTGCTCAGCTGTGTAGCCCAGGTTGTCAGTGGGGATTGCTGTCTCTCTGAGCTGGGGACTCTTTAATCGCTTCTCACAAAAGGCCTGAGGTCAACCTTGTAACTGCTCCTTCTTAAAGGGCAGATATTACCCCACGCTTTTCCAGCCTCAGCTGAGACCCTGTGTATCACTTGTGTTACCTATACAGAAAAATATTTACAAAGCTAGGAAGGATAGAGTTATCTCGCAGCCAGAAACAACACGAGTGTATATTAAAGATAAAGCAAACTGAATAAGACAATCCCTTAGGATATCAAGTACTAAAATAATTGTGAAAGCCTGGAAACTTGCTGTTTGATTTAGCAAAAAGAGAGAGAAAGATCTATATTAAGTAATAAAACAGCACTTGTTTGAAAATGTACATTGTTTTTAATAAAATCACTTCTTAAGGGGATAAAAGGAGAAGCTTATGCACAGTATAAACATTCAACCACTATGCCACTTACTTAGATTTTCTTGCCTTGTTGATAAAAGTTGTGTGTTTGATCTCATAAATATTATTCACATAAGCAGTTGCATTGTAATCTCTTAATATGACTTGTAAGAGTAAGGATTGGGAGATTGGGCCTGAGTTTTGTCTCTGCTGTTCTACATGGTAATTGTTGTAGATGCATAAATATGTAGCTCAGACACAAGTTTTCAAACTGTATATACGAAGCCTCCAGTCTTATAAGAATTTAATGTACTGGGAGTAGTCTTGAATGTCTTCAGGACAGGAGCCTTGAATGGGACTGCTCACAGACCATAAAACATGCAAGGACCTGAACAGGGATGAGGAAGGAGCCCCAGTTCCAGGGCATTTGTGTCAGATCTTAAAATATGAAGATCACTTAAAGCAGTGGCTTCTAAACCAGTTGTGGATGTCTGTGCGAGGTCTCCACAACCACAAGAGCCCCTATGAAGTGGACAGAATTATAATCCCTCCAGTTTTTTTACCATTTGTACAGCATTTTGTGCTTCTTAGGGTCTCAAAGAACTGCTACTAGAAGCTTGGAAACCACTACCAAAAAGACAAAAATTGTTGAAGGGAGACTCTCAAAGGGAAATAAAATGCAGTGATAGCAACTGCTTGTTTTGCTGTGGTTGTTTTTTAATAATAACTGGTGGTTTGTACCATATGACAAGAAATTTGCTGATCCAAAATATCTTACTAACCAGTGCTTCCTGTGCTGTTCAGCAAAAGAATTGTCAACACAAACAGTAGCTGATAAATTTACTTTTGATTTTAAACATGATCTTATAGTGTACTGTACTCTGGTGGTAGATGAGAAAAACATTTCTATCCCTAGGGCTCAGTGCCTCACCTTTTAAGAATGTTTCTGAATCCATGCTTGCAAAACTTCATTTTAAGTTCTTGTTAATTATTTACATCATGATTTGCTTTATCTTATTCTTCTGATGTGCATATTGGCTCATTTTTATTGCCTGAGTTTTTGGAATGCAGCATGTTCCCTTCTAATAATAATAGTGCAACTTATTTAGAGCTTTGCATCTTAGTGCTTTATAAATATTAACTAAATAATCCCCAGCACAAACACAGAGGCAGGTAAATAGGTCTGTTCCCTGTTTATTTGTTGGGATACAGGCAGTGCAGGCCTGCTCAAAGACTGCTGGCAGGAGAGGTCAGATCCAGAAGGGGAAACACAGATTTCCTACCTCCAGATCCCTTTGTCCTTGCTGAGGCTGGGTTTGTCAGCGCCACGTTAGGCACTTCCAGCCAGCATATTCTGTTGTAATGTTTGCAAGTTTGACGAGACTTCAGTGCATGCTGAGGTCAGATCAGCAGTGAGATATTTCTGTACTCAAAGAGATAAAATGCTCTCCTTCCCCCTGACTCCCCAGCCCGTTTGTCTAGTTATTGCTAGAGAGTTGCAGCCCTTGTTTTTGGGCAGCAGCTGCCGTTGCTGGCAGAGCTCCGGCATGTTTGCCCTCATCTGGCACTTTTCTCACTTTGCCCTTGCTACAGTTCTGGCTAAGCTGGTCAAGTTAATCCTATACTATGTCATTTAGCATTTTGTCTTGTCTGCACTTGACTCGTGGAGCATGTTCATTAAAATTTGTCAGCTAAACTGCACCGATGTTGTATGATCAGTGCTTTTGGTCTGGCAAAGCTACGGTTTTCTTTTTGTTCTTTCTTTTTTTCCCTTCCTTTATTTTAAACTTACTAAGCCTTTGTTTGTAGCTCTGCAATTTCTTCCCCCTGCTCCCTCCTCAGGATTTTGTCAGGAACAAAATAGGAGCAAGAATACATGTACAAAAAAATGCTGTTCTTTGTCTTGCAGCAGCAGCAGCAGCAACAGCAACAACAGCAGCAGCAACAGCAACAACAGCCAGGTCCCAGACTACCCCCAAGGCAACCGACAGTAGCATCACCAGCTGAATCTGAGGATGAAAATCGTCAGAAACCCCGACCGCGAACAAAGATTTCTGTGGAGGCCCTAGGGATCCTACAGAGTTTCATACAAGATGTAGGCCTGTATCCAGATGAAGAAGCAATCCAGACTCTCTCCGCTCAGCTTGACCTGCCCAAGTACACCATTATCAAGTTCTTTCAGAACCAGCGATATTATCTCAAGCACCATGGGAAGCTGAAGGACAATTCTGGTTTGGAGGTAGATGTTGCAGAATACAAGGAAGAAGAGCTGCTCAAGGATTTAGAAGACAGCATCCAAGACAAAAATGCAAACACGCTTTTTTCAGTTAAACTAGAAGAAGAGTTATCAGTAGAAGGGAACACAGAGATTAATGCTGAATTGAAAGACTGATCTAAAAGTATTATTTTCTTTCAACAGTGCCGCTGGTATTTACTAATGAAATGAAAATTCCATCTTGCGTTGTGTCAAAAACCCTTATTATTCATTGTTTGGCCAATGAATCTTCCAAAACTTGCACAAAAGTTGAAAAAAAGGATAATGCAGACTGCACTAGATGTTTTACTCTATTTTACAAACTGCTTCGCAGCAACAGATGAAGCGTTGAGGATTGTTTGATATTAATTTGTGTTCACTGGATACACTGTGAGTGTACCCAATAAGCATGATACCAGTGATTTTGATTCTGGAGCCTTCAGACAAGCATTACAACTTTTGTGATTTACTGTTTTTTTTGTTTCTGTTTTGTTCTTGTTTTTTAATTATTACTGTAGCACTCCACACTTGATCTTTGAAAAATCACATTTATTTAAAAAAATAAAATAAAAAGAGTTTGTTACTCTTGTTCTATTGTATGTTACAAAAGAACTATAGACTGTGGAATGCAGTTTAAAGATAACATATGCCAACAAATGCCTTGTATTATATGGCACTGCCGTAATTCAGATTTGTTTTCTTTTGGAAATAAAGGTCACTGTATTTTTTTTTCCATTCTCATTGTTACATGGTTTTAGAGAAAATGAAAAAGAAAATGTGAAACACGATTTAGTCCTCATTATTTATTTGTAGATCCTGCAGCATCATGTTGTAATTAATTTTTTTGGAAGTTTCCGTTAAATGTAATATTGCTTCTCTTGTTACCATACTGATTTTTTTTCTATTTATAAATGTATTTTGATGGGCAGTAAAACAAAGTGTCTTAAAAGTTTTAAATAGAGAAAATGTGCTTTACACAGTTGCCTATAAAAAGTGCTCTATGTTATCCAAGCAATTCATACTATAAGCTTCACTCTTATTGTTGTATGCAATTTTTACTATCATGCAAATAAGCTTAGGTAAATAAAACTAATAGATCACCTTAGAAACTTATGCAATTAATGTGAAAATAATTGATGTTTGCAATGTGTCTTCCTTTGGTTTACAATCAATTTTAAAGCTACAGCTGTATAAATTTTCTGTATAAAGGTGTATTTCTTTTTTATGAGTTTATTGCTATGAAAACACCAGTTATTTTGTTACAGCTGGCTGTTTTTATAAGTGTATCACAATTTTCTTTATGCAGAAATGTTCTGACTAGGAGTGGTTATTGACTGTAACTACACAATTAAAATTGTTTGTATGGTATGATATGGCAGGGTTTGTCTGCGTATGTGTATATCTGGGAGGAATAACTTGTTCTTAGTGCACATCATACCTTCTTGCCACCACTTTGTTCTCCTTTAAAATCACAGGCAGATTTTTTTAATGACCTTCTTAAAATTTGAATTTAGATAACATACTTCAAAAAGAAACACAGTTTGGTTATGAAAATCATAACCTGTCTTTTCTTGGTTTAAAAACTTGCCTGCCCAACAGAGATAGCAGGATATTATTGAGTCAGAAGGCTATCAGGCATAAACATATTTACAGTTCCTGGCAGTAATGCACTTATAATGGATACAGCTGGTTTTATTTTACACTAGAATTATGCTAACACTGTTCCTTGCACTAATGTATAAACATTAAAAAAAAACATTAATAGTCATAAAATAAATAGGAAAGATGGGCTTTGCCCATAGCAGTCTCCTTCTAAGCAAGATTATTTTTAATGATCACTAATAAGGTTCTTGATAAAGCCATAACAATTGGTGACCTCTGAATTTGAGCATGGCTCATGTCTAGGCTAAAGACCAGTCTGCAGCTACAAGTTATGGAGTACACACTGTTGTTCTCACATGCAGTGTGACTCGGGATGGGGATTCAGCTCAGTTCTTCCTGAAATGACTAAAAGTTTACAAAACTCAACATCAATTTCAAAGGCACAAATGACTCTTAGCAAAATTCTTGGTTTAGTTCTATTAAGTTCATAAGGAAATTTAAAACTGCTGCAGGCTGTCCTTGGTCTCAATGTCCTTTGTGGGTCCATTGAGCAGCTTTCAGCTGTGGCACCTCTTGGCTTCTTCCAGGACTGTGTTGGGGCTACACCATGCTTTGGGCTTGGGATCCAGTCCAGTTGAAAGAAAAAGCCTTAGTACCACTCTGGAAGGGAAATAAGCCTTAGGAGGGACACATCTATATAATTTGGCATTGCATTCCAATAAAAAGGCAGTAAAACTATGCTCTCGCTTAAGGGACTTGTAGTAGCTATAAAACTATCGATAGCCCAAAGCTATGCTGGTCACTAAAAGGCAAAAATGAGCCTAGTCTAGGGAAGTGACTGTGATCATGATTGGATTTCTTCCCTTATTTCCATGGCATTGTTGCTGTGTACAGCCATGCAGATGGAGCTAGGACTGACCCCTATACACAGCTGAGGGGCAGGGTACCTGGCCCGGGCAATACAAGCTGATTTGGTGGGCAGGACGATACTGCTGGCACCCTTGGGTATACTCTGTACCTAACAATGTGTGCAGATACAAGGCAGAAGGGGGAGTGAAAGAAAGACTTGAATGTACCTCTCTCCACGCTAAACACTAGTACACACAGCACTCCAAATACCTGAAAGAGGGGAACCCTACAAAAACATAGCAAGAAATGTTTAGTCTTTGCTATTTTGCAAGCAATTTCCTTTTCTTTTATCATTTTAAGTTTTATGGGTGCTGAAGTAGAGGCCATGTGTGCTTGCAGATGGTTATTATAGCTGTTTCTTTTCCATTATCTTCGTTGTTCTTTCTCCTCCTGTAGCTGAGGTTATCTTCCAAATGGCTCAGCCTTTTTCAGTCACACATTACCTGCACAGGAGTTCAAACTGTTGCCTTTTTGTGTCCCTGTGGGTGGGCTGCAAGTACAGTCTTTTAATTTGGCCTATGTGACCAAAAGCATTTTTGTTAAATCTTTTGCAGTGTTTTCAAAGGTGATATGGTATTAAGGATTCCAGCTTTCTGTGAATGCAAGAGATTTATACTGTTAGGAATTCAGCTACAGCAAGCATATGCCACCTTGACTCATGGACCAGTTAGACTACCTAGAAAATTACCTTATATCCTTTTCTGTTCCTTAAGTTCCTTTTTTTTACCATCTGGTAGAAACGTACCAAAAAAAACACCCCAAAAACCAAACAAAAAAACCCCCAAATGAACAAACACACTTTTCCACTTCAGCAAAGATTAAAAAATCAGACTGGAATACCATAACAAAGCACAAAAATTGAGACATAAAACCAATATTAGTTGGGAAGTTGTTAGTAAAACTCACTGAGTAGGACTTCTCTAAATGTATGAAATGAGTATTATATACTCATATATACATACGCATATATATATATTTAATATGTAGTATTATATACTGCATGTATACTTAGAGAAGAATGGAGAAGGAATATTACTAGGAATAGACTGAAAGCTGCAAAGAAAGCCAAATGCCTAAAAAATAGGGAACTGATTGCTGGGAGAGGATGGCAGGACTTAGTTTTTACTATAAAACTGAAGTATTTACCATGTTTTATGTAATGGTGTTTACCATAAAAAGTGGAGTATTTTTACTCCCTGATGATTCCCATTATTCTATATTTAACTGACAAGATTTATGTGTATATGCTAGAATCCCCAGTGTGTGTTTTTCCACCCTGAAAGAAACCCAAATAGGCCCCAGATTCCAAGAGGTCCGTGGCCTGGGGAGAGTCTCAAGCCCCAGTCACATCTGCAAGTTGCTTGTAATTATAATGACTCACTACCCTACAATGCAGGGGTTTAGATTTGGGTTTTGTATAACGACGTAAATTGATAAGATGACCCAGCAAAAACTGTCCATGTATAAAAGTAAATTATTGCACTCACTTTTTTCTTTTAGTAGGGAAGGTGCAGCAAATGGAGAAAGCAAAAGGTTCCTCCAAACTGGTGATTTTGTTGCAATGATTTACAAAGTCGGTGCTTTGATTGTGTGCTGGGAAAGCACCAAATATTACTAAGTTCATTTGCCAAAGCAAATGCTCCATATGTTAAGAGCAGTATAAATGAGATATTATAGAGGCTCTACTAGAACATCAAGTATTACCAATTCTGCTTAACTTATTGAACTCGTGCTTTGAAGTCAGGTACATTGCAGAGACCAAAGGTATTTTGATTTTTACATAATGATTTATATTGTGCTTTGAATAACAGTCCCATAGCAAAGCAGGGATATAAATATACTCCCAGGCCTTTTTTTGCACACAGAGGTAATTTAGGTTGGTCTCCTCACAGTGCCTTGCGTCCACACACTCTTTTACTACAACAAATGAGCTAATAATTCAAACTGCAATAAGTGATCCTCCTTGGAGCAGGAGTAGTGCTACTTGGCAGTGAGTTTGTTTGCTTTCAGGTTCATACAGGAGCCTTCCTGCCGCTCTGCTGCTGGCAGCCCTCCCACTATCTCAAGCTGCATTGTTTCGTTTTGGCCTGACCCAGGCACTCTTCCTGCTCCAGGTCATCTTGGCCAAATGTCATCTCTCCTGGTTATAGGCCATTACTCAGGTATATGTGCCACAGTTTAATAGGAGGCAGCAAGGGCTGTATATGTCTGATGTCACCTACCTTTTGTCATCCCCATTCATGCTGTGAGCCCTGCAGAGTTGCTTGAATAATCCACTTGCATTGGAAAGAGAGTGACACCCGGAGCAAACCCACAAGGAGACAGGTTACTTCTGGAGCAGAGGGGGCAAGGGGCTGTGCATTCCACAGAGGAGAAAGAAGGAAGGTGCCAGAGAAAGATGAAAGAATCAGAAAGGTCACAATAGCTACCCCTGCATGGGCGATCAAGCTTTTTTGCAAGGTGTGCTGTGGCAAAACTCATAATACTACAGAGTACTGTCAAGGCTCTGTGGAAAATGCACAATTGTCTCCATTTGAAGGGGTTTCCCTGTCAGGCAATATCTAGTTTAATACAAAAACCTTCTCAGCTGTCCATGGCTAAAGAGGTCCCCTATCAGTTTGTCCTCTGGTACCATCCCTGTGCGTAAGATATGCAGGATTCTTTTTGCCAGCTGCTGACATGTTACCATGGCAGTCGCAGCTGGGACTCTCTTTCTAGGTTACTTGTTTACCCATACAGTGTGCTAAAGTAGCATCCAGGCTGTAAACCCTCTCATTTTCTTCCAGGATCACATCCAAACACAAGCAGTGTGCTTGAAGCCTCAAACCTACTTTTTGGAGCTGTCTCCTACAGTGCTCCCTCTCCTCAGACCAGATGTACCACAGCAAATGTGTTGTATAGCTCAGATGTTCATCATAGTGCAAGAGAACAGAAAAAACATGACTTTTGTGGGTGCAGAGATGTATAAAGCACACACAGGTCAGAAGTTTTGGAGAAAGTAGAATGCTCCAAGAGGTTTCAGAGAGAGATTTCGTACTGCTGTAGTTGTCTCAAAACATCAGTTGCAATGATTGGAAATTGTTGGGCCAGAAAAGTTCATGTAAAATCCTATATTTGCAGAAGACCTTCTGCCAGAACAGAATTTGAAACAAAGGGCACCCTGTTTTGTTATTTGCATTACAAAATAAACATTCTTTGCAGTACAAACTTTGTTACCATTCTGCATCTACACTAAAGCAGGACCCTGTCCTGATAATGAGCAGCACTGCCTCAGCTATTTGTCCCTCATATGTGCCCCATCTCTGGGGGTTCCGCCTGAATGTGGCATGCCCAAAAACAGCTTCACTCATCTTCACACTCCCATCATCAACCATGGCTTTTACCTGCAGTCAATATTTTCACCTGGGGAAAGCAATTTAAAAAAAAACTTACCTTACAGCAAACCAGGGCAGGGAAAGGTAAACTGGGCTGTCTTTTCACAATGGAAAGAGAAGTAATTCTTTATCATTAACAGTATAGCAGTTGCACTGTGAAATAAGTAGAGGTGTTGTTGTTGGCTTGCCTTAGTAGGAAAAACGTTATATCCCCAAACTAATAAGGATTTAATATCAGCTGGAAAAGAGTAAAAGAGACAGAAAATGATGAAAAGGGAGTGAGAAGAAATATCTAGATAAAATCTTATTGGGGGCAGTCATGCCTAGAGATGGCTGGAGAACTACAGGACTAGTTTAAATTAAAGGAAATCCAAGTTACCAAAAGAAAAACTAAGTGAGGGCCACTTCATGGTTCACATACTCGATGTCCTGTGAAAATGGGGAAAGATTGAACACAGAGTTGTTTCAGAGGAAAGAGTAGAAAATAG